AGTCCTCGATCTTTTTCAGAAACGAGCTAAGACTGACGGATACCAGAAAAAAAGGAGGGAAAATGCTTTCCTGTAGGGTCCCTGACTGTCGGGAGGGGGATGCAAAGATTTCCTTGCCATTCACCACCGAGAAAGGGGGGCCGTCTTGGAAGGAGGCAACAGGCTCCCGGGAGGGGACCTGCAATTCCAGGAGTTTTTCTGGAAAATAAAGTGTGCGAGAGGGTTTTTTGGCTCTTCAAGCCTACTCTCCCCCGCTCGTTAAAAAAAAAAAAAAATAAAATAGCGGTGGGGGTGGGTGGGGCAGAAAAAGAACAAAAATCCACAACTTAGCGAGGGTGGCCCTAAGTATTTTCTGGCCAGGCCGAGAAAGGAAAAAAGACAGCAACAAAAAGGGGCAGTGGTTGTGGGACAGGAGTGCGCCCGCGCTGCCAGGTGCACCCAGGCCCGCACCTACCTGCTGACCGCCGCCGCCGCTGGAGTAGGACTCGGCGTGCGCAGGAGAGCCACTGCTGCCCCGGGACGAGGTGTCAAAGTTCCCGGGATAATCCTGGTACATGATCCGCAGAGGGGGCCGGAGAGGAAACAGGGTGGTTTTCTTCCCCGCCCTCGCTGCGGCCGCGCACTGGCTGCGGCCCAGCCGCGGGCTTCACTCTTCGCTCCGGAGCTGTCCCCAGAACCGAGGCAGACAGGGAGGCGGCGACACCCGGAAAGTGTCCCCCCCCCACCGCCTCGCGCACTTCTTTCCTGCTCGGCGAGCGCCGCGGGACCGGCTGTCCACCGAGTCCCTCCCTCTAAAAAGTCGGCGCGTCCCTCGGTCCCTCCCCTACGCGCGCCCTTCCGCCCACGCGCGCAGCCCGAGCTCCGCAGGGACCCACGGCCGGGTGAAAAATGGGCAATTCAAAAAGACTAGGAGCCCAGCGGGTGTCGCCTGCCAGCTCTGGGGGACCCCCCGACCCCAGATCTCACACACGGCCAAAAAGGAGAAAAAGAAAGGCTGCCCGTTTGGAGAAACTTCTGTTTCCTCCTTTTTAGAAAAGGAGCCCGAGAATAAACTTCCTGTGGCCGACTCGTCGCCTGAGTTTCCGAGCAGCTCGGACACTCGACTTAGCAGGAGGCGGCAGAGTGCGTCCGTCCCGAGGCCTCGATCGCCGGCAGGGACAGCGCGCGTGGGCTTCCCGCTGAGCCGGTGCGAGTGAGGGACGTGGCCCCGCAGCGACCTGCACCCCGCGCCGGCTCCGGGACCGGCCGGTCTTGCGCGTCCGCGCCTCGCCCTCTCAGGGTCTCTCTCTCTCTTTCGTCTCTGTCCCTGGGGAGCGCCGCTCGCTCTCGCTGTCTCTCGCTTGCTAGCTCGCTTGGAGCCCCTGCGCTCTGCCCGAGATGAGTCACTACAATGGCACGAGTTCAACTCCACACTCTTTATTCCCCAGCCCCGCACCATGTGGATCCACTCACGTCAAGCCCAGACTCCACCTTGCTGGGAGGAGCGTGCAAGGAGGCGGGGGACGAGGAGAAAGGGGGAGGAGACGCGCGCAGTGCTCCCCTCCCTGCACGGGCTCGAGGTGGCGCTGACGCCAGCCGCACACCCCGCGCAAGGAAGGCGGTGGTGAGGGTGGGAACGCGCGGGCCCGCGAGGTTTGGGGGAGCCCAGGCCGCCCGGACTCTTCCCCATCCTCTCCACCCCCCCGGCGCGGCGCCCTTGGTCTGTCCCATTGGCGTATGTTGCCAAAGATGGTCATTTGCGTTAGAGGACGCGAGTGCGGGTTTCCTTGCTTTCGGGTGACGTGGAGGGAGAGGGATTCCCTCGCCTGCTCCCGAGAGCGCCGCTGTCTCCCCTCCAAACCCCAGGAAGGGGCGCGGGGCGGGGCCCCGAAAGTGGCCGCGCGGGCCTCGGCTCCGGGTTTTAGAAAACAATCAGTTGGGAAACCAGACGGGCGGCTCAGCACGGCGCCACCTCCAGGCCGAGAGCCCGGCGCACGCAGCCGCTCGCGGGGAGGGCGCGGCCAAGCGCCCAGGTCCGCGCCCACAGCGGCGCCGCTCCGTGCAGCGGGCGTCCTGGGCGCACCGGTCCTCGCACCGCCCTGAGGCCGGGTCTCGGTGGGGCACGGCGCGGCGTCGCCAGGCGGGGCTGGCTTCCCTATTTTTCTCCTCCAGCCAGGCTGCCTACTACTTCCCTATTTTTGTAATTTTTTTTTTCTGTTTTGTTGTTGTTTTTGTTTTCGGTCTTACAATTAATTTACTAGTTGTCTTGAACACGAAATTAACCAGCAAGGCATTGTCGGAGTTTGCCATGCCAGACAAGACGCAGCTAATAGAATAAGTTACTGAAAGCAAAACAGGTTGTGACCCCCTACCCCCTCCCCCAGAAAAAAGGGCGAGGGGCGCAGAGAGGTGTGCCCCAAGTTGCCTTCAGCTGTTTTGGAGCAAAGTCCAAGGCGCGCGTGGCCGGACTCCTGGATCTTCCCACCTTGCTGGGTGGTGCGCAGGGTAAAGAGCGCAGGCCCCCAGTATGAACGCCTGCTTATGCTATTTACGAGCTGAGAGACCTTGGGCGAGTCTGGCCTCTCCGAGTCTCGATTTCCTCCTATGTAATGAAAGGTTTGGAGGTGACGACCTTCTAAGGCCCTTGTGTGCTCTGAATCTTCAGAGACGGTACAGTGGATACAGATAAGCACTGTACCAGTTGAGGAACTTTACCCAATTTATTGTTGTTGTTTAAGCAGGGTCTTAGGTAGCACAGGCTGTCCTCGAACTCGCTTTTTAGCCCAAATAAGCTTCCACCTCCTAAGTGCTCGGATAAAGGACATGAACACCCGGTTTCTAGCCATTCCTTTTAAAGCAATGTGTCTGTATCCTGAAGGACCTTTAAGGATTGAACGGGAAAATGGGTTGTTGGGGTCCTTTGCGGACTGAAGCGCTGTGAGTCCACCATAACACATCTCAATTCCAGTCCTCAGTTTCCTTATCTGTGAAGTGGGGGCGTTGCTAGGAAAGAAAAATAGAGTCGGGAACTCGAAGCTTTCCCGGGGCTCTATATAAAGCGCTGGCGTTTCCGGGACGGCTGGCGGCATCTGGCTGCCCCCAAGGGCCCCAAGATACGGTAATCCCAAACAATACTCGGGATCATTGTTTACAGCTATAAAACACATTCTGTCCTGAGCTCCATCCCCAAGGACGTGAGCCGAGGCCGTCCAGAGTCCTCGAACCTTCGTGGCTGCCCTCCTGGCAGAGTACAGCCTCGCAGGTCCGTGCGGGGGGCGGGGGGCGTACACACACACACCAACCCGGGGCGCGCGCTCTCCCTCGCTCTCTCCCGCTCTCTCTCTCTCCTCTCTCTCTCGCGCTCTCTCTCTCTCCTTTCTCCACCCCGGCGTCCTGGCCTGCCGGGGTGTTTACGCGCCTCTCCCAGAAGGACTGAGTAAATGCAGTCCTTTGACGCAAAACGGATCAGCCCTTCCCCAGCAGCAGCAAAATCCAGAAAACTGGGGGTGGGGACGGAGGCAGGACGCAAAAGAAATCGTGACACTTTCCCACTCGCCTCTCTTTCTCTGAGCTAGGCGAGCCCTAGAGAAATTTTAGGTTGGTGGGGGGTGCACAACTGGGGGCGCGGTCGGGGTGCTCAGGGGCGTCCCCCGAGTAACCGCGTGTCGCAGCAGTGTGAATAGACGCACTTTTGGTTTTCCTTTGAGCAGCATCGGCTGCCGGGCCCTCCCCCACCCTGCGCTCAATAATCGGGTGCTTCTGGGTCTCTCCCACACAGTACTTCCAGTAACGCGGGGAGGGAGGGGAGGGGGAAGGGGAACAGGAGCTTCCTCCTAGGCCTCCGCCGTCCCGGGCGCGCCCAGCCACCGGCAGGCGCCGTCGGGAGCGCGCCTGCGGGCCAGCGCAACCTCGGGGCCCTCTCTCGCCCCCGCCCGACCCGTTCCCCCCCGGTCCTTTCCTTTCTTGTGGCTTCCCGTAAAGCCCAGCAGCCCCCAGACGTCTGCAAAGCATCACGGAATCTGTGCTGATGCAAGTAGCTGGCCTCCCTTTGGTGCGCCCCGGCCTGCCTGTGAGCGCTTTGATCCCGGCCTTGCTCCAGAACTTGTGCGGGTTTCCTGTGCTGGCCTGAAAACCTGCATACCACAGCCTTCACCTTTCAGTCCTTAGCACCAAAGGCAGAGCTACGCCCCGGTGTTGCCCCAGGACTGGCCTCCCTTGGTTCAGTGGGATGTGTGTCTAACCGAGAATGCAGCCTTATCTAAGCCCAGTTCAGTGGCCCCGCGGTGAGGTCAGTTAGGAAGGGGATGGATGCTAAGAACTGAGGTTTAAGCAGCAGGTGTCAGGCATCCTTAGGAAAACAGATACTAGTCATGGAATCCTCACAACAAACATTTGAGATGGCTCTCATTCCCATGTGTCAGATGAAGAAAGTAACATTGAGTAACATGTCCAGGGGAATTGGTCAATGTGCTAGTGACCAGTTGGGGAGTGCAGCTGGTCTACCACCACCACCCCCATTACCTGGCTCCTACTGGAATGTCTTCTGGCTTTCTGGTCTTCATCTGCTGGCAGCTTTAGTTTACACTTTAAAACTGTTCCTTAAGTCTCTGTTGAATAGATGGATGGAGTGAGGGAAGGGAGGAGAGAAGGTAGGGTGGGGGGAAAATGGCAGTCTGGGCTGGCTCTTCATTGCCTCCCTGGGTGTCTGGACTCTCCTTGCCCCCTCTGCCAATTTCCTTGTTTGCCCATCCAGCCCAGGGTTTGGCCCCTAAGAGATGACTTTATCTTAGAATGGTTGTCCCTCATTGACCCACCCACCTGAGCATCTGAGTGCTAAACATTCAGGAAGCCCTTTCACGAGCATGATTTCCTTCCAACACACACACACACACACACACACACACACACACACACACACACACCCCACAGGGGGGCAGGAGCTTGATGTGGACAACAGTTAACCGGACCAGATTGTTAAAGACAAGGCCAAAGAACAGAGTGGCAGAGCAGTCTCTTCAAGATCACCCAGCCTGTGGATGTCAGCAACTGAACTCAAAGCCCTCCTCTAGGAACTTAAATCCAGTGTTCTGCCAACTTTGAAATGCTAGCAAATACCACTCCTTAGTGATGAACTGCCCTATATCCATTGTGCCTGGACGAATCTCCCATGCATTTTTATGATATATTAAAATTCCTAAAAGCCAGGTGCTTATTTAATATGGAAGATTTTCAGTTCTGCAAAGACCTATGAATCCATCAGGGACCATCAACAAAAACAAATTTCAGCTTAGATAGTTCAAAGGAAGAGGGCTTTGTGGTCCTTAAGGTGTGAGAGGACTGAAAAAACAGGGAACTTGATACATCTAGTGTATGGCAACAGTTAGCAACCAGCCACCTCTGGGGTTGAAACGGGAGAGGAAATGGTGCTATTAGACCCTAGTGTAGCTGGGGCTATGAGGGGGCCACCAGCAGGCAAAGGGAAGCAGCCAATGCCAGAAATAGAGTGCTAAAGGGGTGAGGGGTTGCAGACCTATCTCTTCTGCCTCCTCCTTCCTGCCTCTCTCCAGCCAATGCAGTTTATGGAGGTTGGCCTTCCCGGACCCAGAGAAGGGTAAACTGAGAGAGGACCTGAGAGGGGCATGCAACAAGCTCAATGAATGGGAGCAGCGACCATAGATGCTGTAAAACCCTCAAGGGAGAGGATTTCAGAATAGGAGAAATACAATAGATCTGTGCATATCTCACCTTCCCCAGAGCAAGGGTGAACATAGCATCAAGGTGGACAACCTTTCAAGCCACCCTTCCCATCGCCCTCTTACACTTTACTGAGCCACCCCTGCTACAGGAGTGGGTTTGTATCTGTCAGGTGTAGGGACCCAGGAAGGGCTAGGAATTGCTGATGCTCCAATAGGATCCACATGGGGAAGTGAGGGGACGTGAGTGAATAAGGTTTTTCCTCTTGGAACCTTACACCATGTTTTTTGAAGACCCAAAGGGCCCTCAAAAATTAGGTATTCTGAGATGTAAGACATATACTTCTGAAACATGATTCTTATTTCATGGGTTGAGATATACATCAATGCTAAGATATGAAGACAAAAACCAAGGGTGGTGACGCATGCCTTATAATCTTAGCACTTAGGAGGTAAAGGCAGGAGAATAGAGTTCAAGGTCATCTTTGGCTACATGGTGAGTTTGAGGCCAGCCTGGGTTACTTGATATCCTGTCCCTCAAAAAAAGTGAAGACAAGGAAGTCAAGAAACTATTATAAGTTATATTTAAGTGAAATGTTCATCATCTAGTTGGGATTACAGGTGCCGGTGTATATGAAAAACAGTTCATCAAGCTGTGCCCTTGCAGGATTTTATTCATTCTACT